ATAATGCCATCTGAGATGATGGCGAAACGTCGACTATCGAATAGTACACAACGGATGAACACCCGGAAAAACAACACATCATCAATTTGAGAAAAGTTAAGGATATGTCGGAGCTAAGTTTTTTAACAAACTACCGAGCAGCATAGAGAACATGAGTTTCAGAAAGTACATACAAACAATTTAAAAAATGATGTTGGCAAAAGCATATTATTCGGTTAGAGAATTCCTCAATGACTCAGAGTGAATTAGTCACAACGATCATTTACATTTACTATTATATATTATATCTTTTATTTTCAACTACCTGTTTCTAAGTGTATTATCAATTTGTGTATGAGTGTAAAACATGACGTGTATATCCATCTTGTAGATGGCTGCTGTTGCAATTACGAATAAATGAATTTGAATTTGAATGAGCCCTGGATCATAATTTTCGGTGCCCTTGGACAGAAGTTCCAAAAAAAGGATCTCGTGACCCAGACTATTGCACCAAAAAAATATATAAGACTCTCAAACGCTATATTATCACAGTAACCTCGATTCTCTTATCAAATTTTTGAAGAATAAATTTCCTCCAAAGGGGCTAAAGCGAGGATAGGTGTATTTTAATAAAACCACATATTCAATAATTTTCAAAGTTTACTCACTTTCCATAGTTTCCTTCATCCCTTCCAGTTTGACACTAGTGTATTTACCATCTTTTGGTGGATTTTTGTCCTCGAAAGGACTCACTATCGTAACATCATGTCCTGCTTCAACTAATCCGCGAGCCAATGAATTCCCAAGTATAAAATGACTCCGCGCTGGCATAGAAAACACGACTAAAATGTTTAAGCTATTTCCAAGATACACTGCTTCAAGTAAAATAATGATGATATATAAGATCTTCATCTTTCATCGGCACGTGTCACAGCAGAAATGTGCCAAGGTAAGGAACTTTTGAACCGTAGTGAGTCTACCGAACGTAATATTCAGACTGGTGTCACGGTGAACAATTATGCCAGTGTTTCAGTGATTAGACTTCTGAAATTTATCGCGCAGAGTATGAATGACTCTTGTAGAACGATTCGAATAAAGTTGTTCCTAACTTGATTTTATCGATACCTTTATACAGAGTGTATCAATTACACGTAGCTGTCTCGATTGGAAGCTTTGTTTGTCTGATTCATATGGATCACATTATAAGATGTCCAAACAAGATGGCGTCAAGTGACAACGAAAATATAAAGATCTTGAAAGTAATGATATGGAACTGAATTTAAAAATGTTCAAGTGCTCTCAAATCAAGCAGAATAATTTAACAATTTGTGTAAAATGTGGAAATGTATTTTATCATTCATGTTCAGTTAGAAGCGAACTGAGGCTTCTAACTGAACATGGTTCGTCCAAAGAAAAACTCTTATTGACAAAGCTTTTGTGAACATTTTGAGAAAGAAAAAACATAGTCAAGTGCATAAAATTCGATCCAATATGTTGCAAGATCCATGGGCTTCACTTTTCGATCGTGCATGATTGCGGATCTTCTTTTTGCATTGTCCCTATACCTGTGAAAAATTTATATGATAAGCAATTATGAAATAGATTGAATTATTCAACAACAAGTACATATTCAGGTTTCGAATAGAGGATTCACATACATCACTAAGCAATTTCTTTGATTACGACTCTCTCCAAAATAATTTAAAAAATAGTAGAAACCAGTGGCACTTCACTTCTCATAAGGTATAAAGTATCCACAAATCAGTTTGCATTAGGAGACAATACGGTTGATCCAAGGAGCAATCCTAGCTAGCATTAACAAAAAAAAATAATGAATGCATATTTGATGGAATTGGCCGATACTTGATGAAAATTCATAAAGTATTGACGTGCCGTTGACGTCTATGGTAACTGTCATGTCCTTGGCCCGGCTCTGTACATAAATATAACTGATGATTAGCAACCATAACACATCTTCAAATGACAGAATTTCATAGCGACCTCACTAGAATAGACTATCATTATGAAGAAAATCGGTTTTCAAGGCTATATCAAAACGGTACGAAGTTCAATAGTGAATTGTTGTGAGTGTCGAAAAAGATAAAGGTGATGATGAGTCTCAGTCTTATAGTTTCTAAATATTTACTGATTAGTTATTTCTCTTTAGTGATATGATTCGTTGTTCACATTATCAATTGTTTATCGATTGCAACACAACTCTGTTGAAAAGAATTTTATGTACGAGTGGTTCAGTTGCAACAGAATGTGAATATTTTCGCATATTTTTCATACATTCAAGATTTATCTCGGGAAAGTTCTCATGGAGTCTGTCCACCTAGAGTTAACATTGTCGATTCCTCTTCCCACTGTTGTTTGCAAAATTGATCCTAAGAAAGTATCACTGAATGCATTAATGGATGTAGCTGTTACTACGTGGTAGGAGATCATAATGAAAAGAGAAATGAAAATTTCTATGTTTTTCACCGCTTTTATTTGTAACTAACGTTACTGCAGTTTCGTCCTATATGGACATTTTCAAACTTATAAAAACAGAAATTTCAATAGTAAGCAATAGTTCATGCTTACAAAAACATAGTTGTTTTTGTAAGCATGTTCTACTCTTTCCGAGACCTGGCATGAAACCGCTTCTATTGGCATGCCTAGCTCATAAGCAAAATGTTTTCGATGGAGTGGTTAGCCAGTGATACCATAGTAAAAATCAACCAGTAGGTCCACTCCCACTACTTTCATTGATGAATTCACAAAGTTCTCTGTGATCTGAAATGAAGTGCGGAGCCAATTTCGTTCTTTTACCATACGCGCACGCTCATATAAAAACGAAATTTAAGGATATTATAGAAGATTTTGTGGTAAGTTACTTATAATCAACTGCAAAAACTAAAAGCAATAATAACAACAGCTACTAAACTAAACACAATATCAATTTCCGACCGTTTAGTATAACTAATCCGATGCCCGGCAACTCGGGCTGATCACGTGGTAAGAGAACCTACAGGTTGTATTATTCTACTGTGGTGATACCTTCCAGGGGTAGCTGTCAACTAGTTTTTTCAATGTTTCCAATGTGAATGATTGGATTCGGGTTCTGAACTCTTGGTTCTGGATTCGTCACAACTCGCGGTGTGAGATTTCTTACTGGAAGAACTTTCTTTTATAACGGGTCTTTTATTATCTTGGAATATGTTGGACATGAGTTATGTTGGCCACGGCTTCATTAAGGAAACTTGACAATTTAGGTATAGGGTCATGTATATCATCTTGAAGCATTTTTCACCATCTTTCAATTTATCGAGTAATATACAGGGGATTTCATTTGAAAAAATGAACTTTCGACCACTTTCATGCACAATGGAAATAATAGTAATTTCAGCACGCCCTGTATGATATGGAGTCGATTTCTTGGTGTTATTTGAATATTTAAGGCTATGTTCTGGACCATATTTAGCACAATTTATTTTTTATCTCGAAAACAGATAAAGATAGGTATAGGACATTATCAACAAAAAAGTATTAAAATACTAGAGCGATTTCAAAAATATATTGATATACGGGGTGTTTCATTTAAAAAAATATAATTGCTAAGACTTCTTCATAGAAGTGGCAACGCCGCAATGCTGAAAATATTTTGGATCGATAGATCTGAAATATCGGCTACAGAGGCAGGCACATCTTCCGATAGACATCGGCTACAGAGGCACATCTTCACCGGCTGCAGGAGGTTGCATATCTCAATGAGGATCTAGAAGTGATTTCGAATTGGGGTGAAAGTAACCAGGTACAATTCAATGCCACAAAAACCATGGGCGTAGAACTACGTCCATGACAAAAACCCAGGCAACAGTTTTCTCCAAGAAGATGAATGTCTCCGAACCGGATATAATAATGTCAGGTCAAACAATTCCGCTTTCTGCTTCGATAAGTTTGTTGGGGATCAAAATGAACACCAATATGTCTTGACACAATCATGTCGCTGTAATCGCAAATTCTGCTTCTCAAAAGCTTGAAACACTGTTCCAAACCAGAAAACTGTATACACCCCATCAACTTTTGATGCTTTATAAAGCTCAAAGTAGATCTTCTTTGGAGTATTGTTCTCTGCTCCCAAACATACCCTGGAGTTGCTGGATTCCATCTAGAAAAGAACTATTCACCTCATTGCAGACGCGAACATCACGTGTAACCTCGATAGCCTGGAACATCGAAGATAGGTTTGAGATTTGTCTCTCATCTATAGATACTTTCACGAGGGGTGTTCAAGTGACTTGGCACATTTGATTCAACCAGGAGCGGTATATACACGACGAACTGTGACTGCTCATCTTTTTGAGGTTCAACTCAGTACATCTCGAACTTCACTGTCTAAAAACTTTTCCATCTGGAGAACTGCGTTTATGTGGAATAGTCTTCCTGACAATGTTTTTCCAAATGGATTTAATATCCGGCGATTGTAATCCAATATGAATCGCTACTTTCCCACAGGCACCGCTCTGATAGCGCCTTAAGGATTTTCTTGTAGTGCTTGTGTTTGCCCTTCACAAAATGACGGGTCGAAACAGCGTTATTTGGTGATGGATTATGAAAGCTAATCTCTTCAGCTGTCTATACCTGTATAGGTGAACAGAAAATTTTCTTTCGTTTTAGATTACCTTATGATACACTGTTTGGAACCTTTGGTGTAATAATGAATATTACTGGAGTTTTTTCCAACACCAAATCGTTATTTTTAACACCTCGACACGTGTTTCGAGAAATGGTAGTTGTCCCTTATTTTCTAACTCATATATGAATTTTATTGATGGACATCTATTATTTGAAATGGAAACAAAGTCGTCAATATTCGATTTTTTGGTATCGAATATCGCGAAAATATCAACCACATACCTTAGCCAAATCCTAGGATTTGGCTGGATAGCTGAAAATTGTTTTATATAAACATATATTGTGAAATAATAGATAAGGCAAAATTGTAAAATTAATTTAGGTTGGTATACCTGTATGGTTGGTACGCCTGGATAGTTTACCTGTATGGCTTACCTTTATAGCATAAATAGGATTAGCTCGCACAAGTTCTTAGATTCAATCTTTCTCTTTGAAGATGATCACTTGGTGATGGAAACACGTGTCGAGGTGTTAAAAATAACGATTTGGTGTTGGAAAAAAACTCCAGTAATATGAAGATTGCCCGTTTAGAAATGACAGGCATGAGAACAAACCAGAAAAGCGTCTCTTAGACGGTTTTCACATCTGGTGAAAACTTACATTCTAAAATCATGATACATTCAACCCTGTATTCAGCTTGCCTTACTGGTTCAGAAATCAATTTTTGAAGTAAAACTTCCTTACGCGCGCTTGACTTGGGGAGTAAGCTGATGAATGCGTGACGAAAGCGTTACGAAAAGTGTGATCGGGCGAGGCGAACGGAAGTTGAGAGGGAGGCATAAGTTAGTGAAGATGAGAAGAGAGAGAGAGACTGTAGGGGCAAAAGAGAGAGGAGCAAGCACACATTTACGGTCGATGTAATTTCTGTTGGAAATTTACTTCAGCATTCAGCTTAGCATCAGCCAAGTTCGTTCTCACTCATAATATTTTCAATTTTTAATGAACATTCAAAGTATAGAATAATAAAAATACGTGAACTCACTTTGAATTATTCAAAAGTTCATTTATGCTGTTAGGTAAGTTTTCCTCGCTCAACTCGTTTATTGATAAAGATAAACCATATCCTGCTGCAACCGCCTTTGCAGCATTCATCTTCTGATCCCCAAAAACAGGAATAGCGAGTATTGGTACACCATGATAGATTGTTTCTGTTGTACTCAACAAACCGCCATGAGTGATGAACAACTTTACATTGGGATGAGCTGAGAAAAAAATAAAATCAGTCAAAAACTTGAACTAGATATTTCTACGTTTAGCATCATCCAGAAATGACTAAAACTGATTGTATACAACTAAATTACAGTAATTCATATTCATCTGGCCCAAGTTCCACTTTGATATTCAGTACTTATTCATAATTGCCGAGTTGCTACTTGAATTATCAAGTGAAATAGTAAATGAATAGAATGGACTGTTTTCGATTTCTGTATTTCCAAAGGCATCGAGGCTTTCAAATGCCTGTTATTCTGTAAAGCATATTGAGCGTCATTGGACTTTTTTGGTCTTCAAAACCCGAAATATGAAAAACTGTAAATTTTTCCTTGTTTACATCATTCGATTGTCTTTTTAATTTCTAATTAACTTGATCAAATCATCATTCGTTCTCTAAGCTATGCCCAAGTCTACCTCTTTCAAAAAACGAATAGTATTATTGGTGGGTTCACGACTTGTTTTAGTAGATTTTTGAGAAAAATGTCAGTGATTTCAGTGAATTGAAGGTTATATAAATCGTTTTATCCGGTCAAAAAACCTTTCATATTATTATTCTACCTCTTTTACTAAAAACTCACCTAGGATATCTTGCTGTGGGAACCATTTTCCAATCTTAACATTCTCAGGTTTACCTGGAAGATGATCTTCATCCCATTTCCACAGTACCTTTTGTTTCAGTTTTCCTAAGGCAGACAATAAAGCTTGTTTACTTTCCTGATTCATGTCCGAAGGTTTCAAATTGGAACCCATGCTGAAGTATATCACTCCATCTGTCGCATTCTCACAGAACTCTTGGAGGTCTTTAGGTAAACTTTTTGGTGGGTTCACGTGATATCCACCAATATTCACCATATTGGGAACGTATGGCACCGGATCATCGATACTTTCATGCGAGTTCAAAAGCAGAAGAGATACATTTGCAATTGGGCCATTTTCATCGACACATTTGGGAAAATGTTTCCTTGCTAGTTCGTTTTGAGCCGGTGTGAAAAAGAATCTATGACTGATCTCCTTCGTTAGATACATCAATAAGTTTACTGAGCGTTGCCATAAATTCATATTTCTAGTGTAACTCAGATATAAATCTGGTATATATGATGGAGGGGCCGGATTTCCAACCAACGAATTTACCCATGAGTTGGCTCCCATACTACTGATTATCACTAAGGGAGCTTGATAGTGGCAAGCTAGCACTCTTAGCGCATCGTTTTTGAATTGTTCAATCACAACCACATCAAATTTCTGATCAGAATTGATGAGTTTTTTGAAGTTTGCATTGGTGAGAGTGGTGTTTGTGATCACGTTGCCCATGAAATTCATGAAAGGTATAAAAGTGAATGGATTCACGTTGACAAGGTCGAACATATTGATGTTTTTATTAGTACCTGAAAAAAATTAAGTATATTTACTACAAACTGATCTAGATATGAATTCAAACTAAACCTAAAATAGTAATCTGAAAATATCAACCTATTGATACACTAAAAATACTGTTTGATTCGATAAATAATTGATCAGGCTGAAATTATTTCTGCAGTTTGTGAAAAGACACTTTTAGAATTAAAAAAATCTGGGAAAATACAAAAGCTGAAGTCTATGTGAAGGAAATTCCGAACAGCAGCTATGTTTGTTAATCATTTATGAATTATTTACTCATATCAACTGTGGAAGTTCAGTTTTTGTAGGAGTTTATATAAAGTCTGAATGAATAGGCTAATATATGAATGTGCACATTGAAATACTTTGGATATGATTGGACATTTTCACAGTTATTTACACATTCAGAATGAAATATGAAAAATCCAGTTGAGAGTTTGAATTTTTGCCGCATGTTTAATAAAGACCCCGCATAAAAACATTTTTGAACGAATAAAATAAACTTTTATTGTATTTTATCCATTTAAAAATGTCCTTATGGGACGAAACTGGAGTAAAATACAAGCGGTAAAAACATAGAAAGTTTCATTCCTCATTTTTCATGTTTTCTCAAGGTTTTCAACTTCTTCAATTCAAAAACTGTGAAATGCTTCCTTCTTCCGTTTTGAAGTCAACAGGAGAGTATTTCAAACACTTCAGCGTTACGCGAAAATATAATTCATTCATTATTTTTGAACCACAGTCTATTTCTAATAATTCACATATTTAATAATTTTGAAAGTTTACTCACTTTCAATAGCTTCCTTCGCCCCTTCCAGTTTAACGCTGGTGTATCTTCCATTTTTCGGCGGATTTTTGTCCTCAAAAGGACTCACTATCGTAACTTCATGTCCTGCTTCAACTAATCCGCGCGCCAATGAATTCCCAAGAATAAAATGACTTGGACCCGGCAAAGGAAACACGACTAAAATTTTCAGACTATTTCCAAGACACAATGCTTGAAGTAAAACAGTAATGTGATATAAAATCTTCATATTTAATCAGCACATGCTACAGTAGAATATGCGAGAGGTAATAAAGATGTATAACGTCTATCAAGTATATTATCTTCCCACTGGTATCAAGGTTCACTGTGGATCACACAAATACTAGTGATTGAGTGGTTAGATTTTGATAAGTCAGCGCACAGAGTCTGACTGACTCTCTTGTAGGATTTAATTATAGTTGTTCCTAACCAGTTTCTAGCGATTATTTTTTATATAAACCGTATAAACGGCGCGTGGATTGAATAAAAGCTACGTTTGTCAAATTCATATGGAAATTCATATTTAGAATATTAGGCAACAAAGAGAGAAAGACAAAAAAACCCATCATCAAGCGAAAAATGGCCAACTCCCGCCAAAACGGTCATCTCCCATGGAACCAGTGAAGCGGAAAATGGAAAGCAGGGATAAGTGAAAGTATTTGAACGACCTATAAATAGTCATCTCTCAGAAGAATCAGTCCAGTCATCACCCGAAGACGATTGTAGATACTAACAATCGAAACGTCGTGAACTATCGTGACTTGGAATATCTCCACTTTTTATTTTTATTTTCTTTTTTCATTTCTTCATTTTTATTTATTCAATTGTACTATTTTTACTTGCATTTTATTTCACTATTATTTCATTTCAGGTTTATTTTGGTTACTATAATTGTTATTTTCAGCTAGTAATTTCCAATTCTTCTTTTTTAGTTGTTTCAGGGATTTCAAATTATTTTATATAGTAGACAATGAAAGTCCGACCTAGTGAAAAGGTATAGAATTATTGAAAAAGTTATTTACATCATTTGGGTTATTCAAATAATCTGGAATTTCATTGCATTTTTCATACAAGATTCCATTTGATTTTAGTGTTTTCTACATTTCTTTATTATTTTTAGTGTTCTCTAACTGATAACATAAATATGCTTTTTTTTCTCTGAATAGCCTTATTTACATAGTTCCGCTCAAGATGTTGAAGCCTTCCAATGATTTAAGGATATGGTTTACGACTTTCTCCATGATTTTTGATATCACTGATAGCAAAACAACTGGTCTATAGTTATTTGTAAGATTTGTCTTGCCCTTTCTGGGAAAAAGCCGAACGCGAGCAATTTTCCAACAAGAAGGATAGTACCTTTCACGTGAGCAGTATACCGAGTGATGTATTTTGAATTGTTTGCATCACTCTGTACATTACTTTGATGATTCCTATTCCATTCACAATACATTTTGCTATTTCCATATGATTATTTTCCATTACCATCACCTCTAAAGTAAGTCACCTGAACACTTAATTAGGTATAACATCACCTTATCAGTACATTTGCATGTATTTTATCATTATTATTCAAATTTTTATATTTCAATAACTATTTTTTTAATCTGCATGGAATAATGGTATGAGAATTGACTGAATAATAGTCTGACAATGTTTTGTAGAATGTTAGAGATTTACATTTTCATCATAATTAACAAATCAAAAATCTAAAATAATGAAAGTATTGATAATGAAAATGAAAAGCACGACACATGTGAGTGCAATCATAGATAATATAAGTGAAAAATATTCATGTTAAACGGTTTCATTGAAAAACAAACATAATAATGATGTAGGTAATGAACTGAAAACTGAAAAATTGGTGAAAGTTTTCAACTAGCAAAAAATCGCACTTCGGATAAACCTCATCGGTTACAATATCGCCTCTGCGATTCGGAAAGTCCTAAGTGGCAGTCATCGCACCACTCTGTTCGGCAATCTACGGTATTGATCAGATAAAAAAATCGTTGGGCGTAGCGTAGCCTGAGTATATATATATAAATACTATTCCCAACGATTTTTTTATTTTTTTATATCATCACTACCGTAGATTGCTAAGGAGTGTGGTGTGATGACTGCTACCTAGGACCTTTCGAATCATTTCTTAGTTCAACTTGAACATTTTTTCTAATTATTTTATTTTCAAATTTCCAGTTTTCAATTTTTAGCCACCCCAACGCCACAAAGTCCACGACATGATACAAAATCTTGACTTGGGTGGGAGATCCATGCTTGTATACCGATTTTGAATTGACAAAGTTCTTTATATGGATTATATTGGATTTGCATCGTTTTCAAAGTGTACTAAGTCTATTCCACTAGTGAAGCCCTGTCGTTTTATACCCATATTGAGATAGTTTGTAGCTGCTGCCATTATGGATTCACAATGATACAGAATTTATCAAATTGAATTGTCATCAAGACTGAATATGTATACCAAATATCAGATTAATCTGTCAACAGGAAGGGAGTCAAACTACAATTATTAAAAACAAACAGGGCAAGCTGAATCACCCCTTTCAAAAAACCAAAATGATATGGAAAATGAAGTGGAGGAATAATAACTTACACTGAAATAGAGTAATAAAGGAAATACATAGGGCTGTGTACACAAACAACCAAAACATTACTTGTAATGAACTGTTGGGAACACTGTAATATTACTGGAGTTCAAACCCAACATCAAACCGTTATTTTCAACACCTTGACACGTGTTTCAATCACTAAATTATCATATTCAAGAGGAAGATGATCACTCAATCTCAAACGGCATTATCAAGACTGAAATGACTTTCCAATTCAGGGATGAAACTATAATCAATAAATCAATAATTACTCAATTACTTTTGTGCTGTTGTTTTTTAATATGGGAATTGTTTCAATGAGCAATAACAATTAACGGTATTGAAATATGGGCCACACTATGACGAAAATAGTTTTTCATTCAGATTTCTTCAAGAAATGACAATGATTACAATTGCCTTCATTGTCTTCTTCTCATATTCTCTACGAACGTATACACCCTGAAATACTGAAATGGTGAGTGACGCTGAAATGCAAACTTTTCAAAAATATTAATTTGTCTTCATTTTTCTACTACTTTCCTTTGAACAGCACAATTTTTTTGAGTATGAAATAAGAAGCTAGCATCAAACTGGCAACAACAGCTCCCACTAGAAGAACAATATCCACGAGGAAATATTGGTACCAAGTTAAATCAAGGGCAGCTACACTCAAATGTGGTGCTCCTTTGTGTCGGACTACAAATTCGATCCAATATGTTGCAAGATCCATGGGCTTCACTTTTCGATCGTGCATGATTGCGGATCTTCTTTTTGCATTGTCCCTATACCTGTGAAGAAATTAAATGATAACCAATTATATAATAGCTTGATTGTTCCAACAACAAGTGCATATTCAGGTTTCGAATAGAGAGAATTCACATACATCAGTTAGCAATTACTTTGATTACACCTCTCTCCGGAATAATTCGAAAAATAATAGAAGCCAATGGCATTTACTTCGTCAAAAAGTATAATACTGTATCCACAAACTAGTTTGCATCAAGAGAAAATACGGTTGACACAAGAAGTAATCCTAAAATTTACGAGAAAAACATTTTCGGGATTTTTTTATGTTTGTTGACTTTTCAGAAACATCGTTAGCCATTACCCCTTCCTATAATCATTGGAAGACATATAAGTACAGGATATTTGATTGTGGAGTACCCTAGGGTACAGTATTACGTCCCATGGTATTCGATACACCTATGAGGAAATAGTTTGAATATAGTTTTCTTCAATAAAGAGAAGATTACCCAAATTTCAAACATTTCAATGTCATTATTGAATAGAATAAGATATAAAAACTCATGCCACTTAGCCAAATGAAAATTTTTCACAATGCCCTGGAGGAAGGTTACCTACTCACGGAATACTAGAGTAGAGGAGAGCAGTTCAGAAGGAATAAACTCTCAGTTTATTTCTCCGGCGGCTTCCCAAATGGAGAAAACTTTGGAACGATCATTCAAAAAGGTAGTTGGAAAAGCTCCACTTGTACATGGACAGTCCCTCGAAGATTGAACCCTCCTCACTCCATTTTCAGAGGCACGCGTATACACACAATGGAGGCCCCTATGGAGACTTCGAAAACCTATGTTAACGTCGCGAGTGGCGGAAATCTCAATATTTAGTAAACACCTTTTGAACTAGGTGGATTCTCCATCTCTAACACGTCGAATCAAATGGGTGGATAACCAAAATTCTTTAAAAATTGACGATATTGTTGTAATTGTCGATGATAACTTATTTAGAAACTGCTGGAAGATGGGTAGAATTGTCTTACCAGAAAAAGATGGCAACGTTCGTGTGGGAGAGGTCAAATCTTCAATCAACAGCTACCATCGTCTGTTTACAGAGTTATGCAGGTTGCAAGTGGAAGAAGAAGTGAAGAAAGCTTCTTCACGGAGGGTAGTATGTTAGAGTTCATTTTATAATGTTGGAATTTTTATTCTGTTCACTCGCTCACACCCAATGTTTACATTGAATTTCTGAATGTCACCTGGTTATAAAACAAAGAAATGTTGTTCTGTTTGGAACCTTTGGTGTAGAAAAAAAATATTACTGTAGTTTTTTCTCAACACCAAACCGTTATTTAAAAACCTTGATCACCAAGTGATCATCTTTAAGAGGAAGATCAAACTTTTCCTTTGTAGATGATCACTTGGTAATCGAAACACGTATCGAGGTGTTGAAATAACGGTGTGGTGTTGGTAAAAATTCCAGTAATATTCAAAGGTTGTTGTTGTTGATAAAAGTTGTCAAACTTGGGAGAAAAATTAGATGATAGTTTTATTGGAATAGTACAAAACAGTACTTAGTTGTTTTGAAAGTAACTTTTCCATCGTGTAATTCAATACTTATGTGAAAGTAGTTATTTTGGGGAGTTTTTTCATTAAGTTTGTGTCTAAAAGTAACTTTTATGCACAATTATCAATTTCATCAGTATTTGAATTTTGATATTTGCAGAAATTCAATAACAACTCAATTCAGCATATTCTTTATACAATCTGAATCTGTGAAATAAAATTATCAATGTCAATTTTTGGTTTTTAGTTCTTCTATATATATAACATGAAACTCATCAAAAAATTAGAAAGGTATCTTTTATGAACTAAAGAAGTAGTAGAAAAATTAAAAAAAAATATTTTTGTTGAAAATTAACTTCAGCATTCAGCTTAGCACGAGCCAGATTTGTTGTATTTTCAATTTCTTTGTGAGAATTCAATGCATGAAATAATATAACTACGTGGACTTACTTCGGATCATTCAGAAGCTCATTTATGTTATTGGATAACTTTTCCTCGCTTATCTCGTTTATTGATAAAGATAAGCCATATTCCGCCGCCACCGCCTTTGCAGCATTCATCTTCTGATCTCCATAAATAGGAATAGCGAGTATTGGTACACCATGATAGATTGTTTCTGTTGTACTCAGTAATCCGCCATGAGTGATGAACAACCTCACATTGGGATGAGCTGAGAAACAAATTATTTCAATAAAAAACTAGAACTAGAGCACATTCTCCAGACGTACGTTTCGCTAACCAAGTAAGCATCATCCCGAGAAGAGTAATTGTTTACAATTAAATTACAGTATGTTTGAACGTGGTTGACAGTCATCACCCGAAGACGATCGTGGATACTGGCAATCGAAACGTCGTGAATTAGCTTGGTTTGAAATGTTCTGCTCATTTTTATTTCATTGTAATTTAATTTCTCGGTTCGTTGCTTTAGAAAAAAATGTTATTTTCAGCTATATTGAATTTTTAATTTAATTTATTCTTTCAGAGTTTTCAAATCATATTATATCATATCAGACAATGGAAGTCGGAACTAGTAGATTACTGTAATTCATATTCAACTGCCACTTCTTTAATGAGGATTACTGAATGAATATCCATGAATGGCAAGTTGCTACTCAAATTATTGAGGGAAACGGTGAGTAAATAGAAATGGCTGTTTTCGATTTCTAAATTTCCAGTAGCATCAAGGATTCTAGAAGCCTGTTATTCTGTAAAGCATTTTGGGTGTTGCTAGGCTCAACTTGTCTACAAAACCGAATAGGTGTATGAAGAGTTGAAAATTTTTCTTTGTTTCCATCATGCAATATTTCTAATGGACTGCCCAACATCTGTTGGAGTATATAGTAGTTTTTGAAGTTTCAAAACAGAACCACTTCACTAACGTACTTCATTCATATGAAAGAACCACAAACTTTCAGCCTTCATCTTTTGAAGAGTCTACGATTCGGGCAGATACTTTTTTTAAAGACGAAACACAAGCACTGCAGGAAAATTCTTAAGGCGCTCTCGGAGCGGTGCCTGTGCCAAAGTAGCGATTCACATTGGATTTGAATCGCTGGAGATTCAATCCAATTGGAAAATCGTTCTCAGGAAGTTCATTCCACATAACTGCAGTTCTCCAGGTGAAAGAGTTCTTGAACAGAGAAGTTCAAGGTGTACTGAGTTGAACCTCAAAACGATGAGCAGCAACAGTCCGTCGCGTATTTGTGATTTGAGCCGCTCTTGGTGGAATCAAATGTGCCAAATCACTTGACCACTTTCCGTGAAAGTATCATTGGAAGAGAGACGAATCTCCAACCCTCCAACCCAACGTGATGTTCGCGTCTCCAATCAGGCGAATGGCTCTTTTCTGGATGGAATCCAGCAACTTCAGGGTATGTTTGGGGGCAGAGCTCCATACATGAGAACAATACTCCAACGAAGGTCTGATCTGAGCTTTATAAAGTATCAAAAATTGCAGAGGTATGTACAGTTTTCTGGTTAGAAACAGTGTTCCAAGCTTTTGCTCTTCAAGAAAATGTTTTTCCCGTTTCGTCAATATTCCTCAATCTACCTGACATTGAAATGTTGTCTTTATTGTTCACAAAAAAACATGTTCAAATTATTATTTGTTCTCTATGCTATGCCCAAGTCTACTTTCAAAAAAAGATTGGTATGGTTGGTGGGTTCATCAAAGTGGTTTGACTCATGTTTGAAGACACCTACCTCATGACCAATGTCGATAGCAATTCTTTTGAAACCACAGTCCAAAAGCTTATGAACCTCAGTTCACTCTGAAAATTACTTCCTGATAGTTGAACATTCAATGATCTTTGAATTGAATTGAATGCTGATACTTCTAGCATATACATGTGTCGAAGAATTTTGTACGAAAAATTACAAAATCATGTTTGTTATCGATTTTAGTGATAGTGAAGTCTTCAGTATTGGGTTATTCACCTCCTGATTGCTTACAATTAGTCGATTTAAAATCATCTACAATTTTATGATGGGTTTCAATCTTGCAGTGAAAGGCTAATGAACCTTAGAGTCCTTTCCCTTCTGAAATCTGTATGGAAAACCTAGTTCAAAACACTGATACAGATGAATAGATGAAATCGTAGTCTACTTCACTGGTACAGTAAACCCATGACTATGTAATTTTTTTCATTAATTATTAAATGTTAAGGCAAAATTTTATGAATACACAAGTTACTAACCAATTGAACTTTTCAATGATTCATATCAGTTTACTCTTATTGGTAAAAGAGAGAAATATTTCTTCCGAAGGGTAGAAGAGAACAGAAATAGTTTTTTAAATGTGAAGACCTATTCCACATTAGGAAATCGTCTATTGGCAGGGAAGGTGGGGGGGGGGTTCGATCACATCTATGACGTGATCGATCATCAGGAGATGACCAGTTCGGTTTTAGTCATCTCCCGATGATGCTCATTTGGTTAACGGAACGCGCGTCTATAGACAGCGATTTGGTTCTAGTGACGGAAAATTGTATTTTAGTCTAACACTCATTGTTCTTTTGCTTGTTCAATGATTTGTAGGTTTCATAGACCGTTTAATCTGGGCAGATAGCCTTTCATGTTAACGTATTCAAAAAACCCTCTATTGTGAAATTTTTACTAAACGGTTTTACAAAAACGCAACACGTATTGGCGGATTTTTATGGATTTTCGTCAAGTATCGGCCAATTCCATCACATGCCTTCCATGTTGTAATTCTCCCTTATGTGACCGAAAACTTACCTAGGATATCTTGCTGTGGAAACCATTTTTCCATCTTAACGTTCTCAGGTTTATCTGGAACATGATCTTCATCCCATTTCCACAGTACCTTTTGTTTCAGTTTTCGTAAAGTGTTCAATATAGCACGTTTAATGTCTTGGGGTATATTTGAAGTTTTCAAATTAGAACCCATGCTGAAGTATATCACTCCATGTTCTGCACTGTCACAATACTCTTGGAGGTCTTTAGGTAATCTTTTCGGTGGGTTCACGTGGTATCCACCAATATTTACCATATTGGGTACATATGGCACCGGATCATTGATACTTTCGTGCGAGTTCAAAAGCAGAAGAGATACATCGGCAATAGGGCCATTTTCATCGACACATTTGGGAAAATGTTTCCTTGCTAGTTCGTTTTGAACCGGTGTGAAAAAGAGTCTATGACTGATCTCCTTCTTTATGTACATCAGTGAGTTCACTGAGCGTTGCCATATGTTCATATTCCTCGTGTAACCCAAAAATACATCTGGTATATATGATGGAGGTGATGGATTTCCAACCAATGAATTCACCCATGAGTTGGCTTCCATGGTACTAATTATCACTAAGGGAGCTTGATAGTGGCATGCTAACACTCTAAGTGCATCGTTTTTGAATTGCTCAATCATAACCACATCAAATTTCTGATCAGAATTGATGAGTTTTTTGAAGTTTGCGTTGGTAAGAGTGGCGTTTGTGATCACGTTGCCCATAAAATCCATGACAGATATAAAATTGAATGGATTCATGTCGGCCAAGTCGAACGAATCGACGTTTTCATCAGCACCTGAAACAAAATGGAGTATATTAACTACAAACTGATCTAGATGTAAATTTAAACTTAACCTAAAATAGTAATATGGAAATATCAACCTGTGATCTTTGATATAATGAACAGATTTATCCTTGAAATATTCAGGAAGTGAATACTTGAAAAGATGTGTAATCGCAGTAAATGAGAAGCCAGAGGTACTACAGAGGCATTACAACTCTCTACTTGTAAAACGAATTATCAGAATTATCCAGTTCATGCAAGAGAAGTGTAACTACTCTGTAACTAACTGTCTGTGCCTTTGTAGATGCTAATATCAATGATGGCAAACTGACTTTGGTGCAGTTTACATTAATGTATTGTGATAGGCTTCAGTTGACATTTAATAATTTTTTGGAACAGTCCCAAAAAAATTAAGTCAGTTCAAGGGACCGCGTCAAATATTTTTTGAAAAAAATAGTCTGTAGAAATACTGTTAAATTAGACAAATACTTGATTGTGCTGAGACTTTGGTGAACTATATCTATAGTTTGTGAAAGGATATTGTCACGGTCAAAATCTGGGAAAACCCAAAAACTGAAATCCATGCAATGGAAACTCCGAACACCAACTATACAAGATATATAAAAACTTTGGTTCATCAAGCATGAACAGTTCATTTTTTTATTTCACCTGTGAAAATTCAGTTTTTTTAGACAAATACTTGATTGTGCTGAGACTTTGGTGAACTATATCTATAGTTTGTGAAAGGATATTGTCACGGTCAAAATCTGAGAAAACCCAAAAACTGAAATCCATGCAATGGAAACTCCGAACACCAACTATACAAGATATATAAAAACTTTGGTTTATCAATCATGAACAGTTCATTTTCTTATTCCACCTGTGAAAATTCAGTTTTTGTAGAAGTTTATCTGAAGTCTAAAACAGATTTCAGAAAGATTTTTTTTAAACAGAATTAAATATGAAGAATCCAGTTTAGAAAATTATAACGATGAACTATTGTCAAGATTTTTTAAGGGCAAAATACAAGCACTAAAGGTAAATCTTCAATGCGCTTTAAGAGCGGTACCTTTGCGAAAGTAGTAATTCACATTGGATTTGAATCGCTGGAGATTAAATCCATTTGGAAAAACGTTATCAGGAAGTTCATTCCATATAAACGCAGTTTTCAAAATGAAATGATTCTTGACCAGTGAAGTTCAAAGTGTACTGCAATACGATGAGCAGCCACAGTTCGTCGTGTATTTCAGACATGTACCGCTCTTAGTGGAATCAAATGTACCAAGTTACTTGAACACTTCCCGTGAAAGTATCTATAGAAGAGAGACGAATCTCCAACTCTCCAACCCAACGTGATGTTCGCGTCTCCAATCAGGCGGATGGCTCTTTTCTGGATGGAATCCAGCAGCTTCAGGGTAGGCTTAGAGGCGGAGCTCCATACATGAGAACAATACTCCAAAGGTCTGATTTGAGCTTTATAAAGCATCAAAAGTTGCAATTCCAGCGACATGATTGTGCCAAGCCATATGGATATCTATCCATCCATGTGGCCTTGTGCCTGCTGTGCACAGAACTAACCTATACCAAAAAATTCACTTATATTTGGGATGCAAAGTTTTTAATCACCTCGATGTCTCTATTCAAACATCTCCAAGTATTAATATTTTTAAATCCAGACTTAAAGCAGAAGAACTGTTACAGTATTAGTGAATTTATGACATAATAGTACATTTTATAAAGTTGTTGACAATTCAAATATTATTTTTTTTTATCGACCTTTTTTGGGTAATTGTAATGTCAATGTTGTTGATTGACAACTGAAACATTCGATGTAATACAAGGTATTTATTCTCCGATATCAGTTTGTTGCCATTTCGCCACTATCCAAAGTTTTCTTCAAGATGGGTAGCCAAGTACGGTCTATTTCTAAGGAGCTATTCGAGATATAATTCTCTCCAGACATGAGAATATACGCTGATTCTTTTAGCTTACGTCTCTCAGAATGAGGCTCATTGATAATCTTTCTTGTCCTATTCCATTCCACCCGATGTTCACCGTCTGATTTTAAAATGTGTTCTGATAATTTCGATCCTGTCAATTGTCTATTTTTTATATAATCTTGATGTTCATTTCCACGCACTTTCGATGGTCTTGAGCTTTCACCAATGTAACTTTTATTACAAGAACAAGGTATTTTATAAATACAATTTTTGTTTTTTCTTCAGTGTTGTTGGGTTTTGTATGTGTGAGTATAGATCTCAGTGTATTTTTTATTTTGAAAGTAGTTCTAATATCATACCTATTTCCAATTCGTCTTATTTTTTCAGATAGTCTTGGAATATAAGGTATAACGTTAGTTGTGAAAGGTGTCAGTGGATGTTGAGTGAGCCAAGAATGACAGCCTTCTGCATCTGTGCGGCTGAGAGTTCTGCCTTAGTACGGCAAGCCGGTATGATTTCAAGATTCGAGAATAGAGAAGACATCATTCCACCAAGGACTCCAATAATCAGAACAACCATCTTGACAGAGTGATCTGGATAGAGTCTGCGGAGTTCGAAGAGAAAATCTCGATATTTTATCCGTTTTTCCTCTTTTCTGACGACATTCATCTCGCCAGGAGCTGAAAACTCCACGACAAATATCGTCTTGGTCTGGTGGTCGAGAAGGACTACTTCGTGGGGAACGAATAGTTCCAATAAATTCGGCACTTCTCGTTTCCCACAACGAATTCAATATCCCCCGGAGCGTAGGGCAACACCGGTGTCTCGTCTATACCGTAAGAGTATCGTATTATTATTATTATTTTAACCTCCAACATACTTATTGAAGCGGAAAGTGGAATTGTCTGTTCTGGCATTATTATATTCGGTTCGAAGACATTTATCTTCTTGGAGAAAACCGATGCCTGGGTTATTGTGGCATTGAATTGAATCAGGTTATTTTTACCCCAATTTGAAATAACTTCTAGATCCTCATTGAACTATTTTTCAACTTCTGCAACTCCAAAACTGTGAAATGCTTTCTTTTAACAAAAGTTCCACTCATCGTTTTGACATCAACAAAAAAATATAGCAGCTGATGATCTGAGGTTTGGGTTAATGAAGCAAATCAAAGTTTTGATGCAGAAAAAATCAACTTGTAAGTACTCGTATATTTAAGTGAAATTTTTAACCTTTTTTTCACCATTCATTTAGTATATTGTGTAGAAATCCTGTGAACGATATCTGATTTAATTCCATAACGAATGTTTGAATTACAAACTGAGTAGAGAAAAGTGGTTTCTGTATAATTCAGTGTTCATAAAAAATTATTTGTTTCGAAAGAATATTTCTTTCGTGTAATTCAATGTTTATAAAGTAGCTGTTTCCAGAAGACTTTTTCTTCCAGTTTGTGTCTGAAAGTTACTTCTTCGCATGATCTACACATGTATGCATAAAGTTACTTCTTTTAGAATAGATTACTTCCTACCTTTCTTTGGAAGATTCCCACATTTTTTTGAATCAAGATGGAGTAGTAGAAAGCCAAAAACTTTCTTTCCCAAAAATTAGTCACTCCTAAAAATATAACCCTTTCAAATTGAAAAATAAGTGTTTCATATCATTTTATCGTGTAATCAATAGTTCTCGACACACTGAGGGATAAATTCAAAACTTCTTTATCGATTGAAAAACTCCACTAGAATATTTCTGAAACATTTTAGATGTCCTCCACCATGAAGTTCTTGCGGAAATTTCAGTCGGTCCTAATTTTTTCAGAAACATAAACCTAATAACCCAATTTTCTTAATCAGTTGTCAAAAATGGAGGAAAATGATATATCGACTTTCAAACGATATATAGTGTGACCCATTTTTAATGAAAACACCCCCCTAAAATTTGAAGTTGTAAATCGATTTCAATAATTTTTTTTTTAAATGTCAAGTACTAAAAGGTCTACCTTGGGACAAAATTTGAAATGTTTATTGAAGTTTCAGGGCATCATATATATTTTAAT